TTGCCTTTTTCCCTCCTCGTGGAACTTCTGCATTTGTTAATACAAATAGCAAGCGAACTATCTACATGTTTGTTTACTGTCCTGGCTTCACGGCCGCACACTATTTACGTCACAGCCAGGCATGAGTTAGGGAGCGCTGGATTTGTGAAGAACTCCCCTCTTCCTAAACCACTAATACCACAGTACTGGCAAAACGGGAGGAGCCGAGTGAAAAACAAGCGCCCCTCATCCCAATCCACCCACACCGCAGTATTTTTTCTTTTTACCCAAAAAATATATTGTATATTATCGGGGCTATTAATACTGTTATCGGGTTTATCAGGATGACGTCATAATTCCTAATATCGGACCGATAATTATCGTGCACCACTAATTATAATGTGTGTGTGTGTGTGTGTGTGTGTGTGTGTGTGTGTGTGTGTGTGTGTGTGTGTGTGTGTGTGTGTGTGTGTGTGTGTGTGTGTGTGTGTGTGTGTGTGTGTGTGTGTGCTGCAGGTGGAGGAGGACAGCAAGGCGGCCGCTGTGAGTCTGCAGGTTGGAGACGAGCTGGTCAACATTAACGAGATTCCTCTGAGCGGCTTCAGACAGGAAGCCATCTGCCTGGTGAAGGGGTCCCACCGGAGCCTGAGCCTGGTGGTGAAGAGGTATACTATAACACCTCTCAAACCAGTATACTTAACTGGTGAAGAGGTAGGTCCCCCCTTCCACACGGTGGTAACACCTCCAATACATACCTGTATCTGAGGATGCAGTGATGAAGTGTGTGTGTGTGTGTGTGTGTGTGTGTGTGTGGTAGTAGTTGTATATGTTCTCTTTTTGATCATATCAGATGAGTATCACAATGATATCAGATGAGTATCGCTATGATGATAATACCACCCCCCCCCCTGTGTGATCAGACTGTATATTTTTCCCAGCAGGCTTCCTCATGGTTTATGTCCCTTATTGACTCTTCAGATCTGGTTTATAATTCATGAGTCCTGAGGCCTGTCAGTGACTCACTGCTCCATTGTCTCTCTGGATCATAACGTAACAGATCCTGCTGTACGAGTCCATTCAGAGTTTATCTGCAAACACCAGTGTGTGTGTGTGTGTGTGTGTGTGTGTGTGTGTGTGTGTGTGTGTGTGTGTGTGTGTGTGTGTGTGTGTGTGTGTGATTACTCATGTTGTGGTTGCACGACTACTCAAGGCTTCTTCTGACAGTGAACATGAACACATTTCAATGTTTCTGTTAATGCTGCTTCTCTCTCTGCTCTGAAACACCATCACACACTTCACCGCTCAGGGTTTGGCAAGCATTACATGAAGACATAAATCTAGTCACTGACACCAACATCTCTGAAATCACTCTCCAAACCAAGGTGGTGTCTCTACAGACAGCAGGGGTTCACATGCAGCGAGCAATGAGAGTGTGTGTGTGATCAGGCGTGTTTCGTCAGTGTGGGTGTGTTTTTGGTGTGGATCATCAGTGTGTGTGTGTTTGTGATCAGGTGTGTTTCGTCAGTGTGGGTGTGTGTGTGTGTGATCAGGTGTGTTTCGTCAGTGTGGGTGTGTTTTTGGTGTGGATCATCAGTGTGTGTGTGTTTGTGATCAGGTGTGTTTCGTCAGTGTGGGTGTGTGTGTGTGTGTGATCAGGTGTGTTTCGTCAGTGTGGGTGTGTTTTTGGTGTGGATCATCAGTGTGTGTGTGTTTGTGATCAGGTGTGTTTCGTCAGTGTGGGTGTGTGTGTGTGTGATCAGGTGTGTTTCGTCAGTGTGGGTGTGTATCGTCAGAGTGTATGTGTGAGTGTGTGTGATCAGGCGTGTTTGAAGTGTGTTTCGTCAGAATGTGTGGGTGTGTTTCAGGTGCACTGAGTCTGTACCGGGTCAGGGTGGTTCTGTGTTTACTGACAGTCTGTACCGGGTCAGGGTGGTTCTGTGTTTACTGACAGTCTCTACCGGGTCAGGGTGGTTCTGTTTACTGACAGTCTGTACCGGGTCAGGGTGGTTCTGTTTACTGACAGTCTGTACCGGGTCAGGGTGGTTTTGTGTTTACTGACAGTCTGTACCGGGTCAGGGTGGTTCTGTGTTTACTGACAGTCTGTACCGGGTCAGGGTGGTTCTGTTTACTGACAGTCTGTACCGGGTCATGGTGGTTCTGTTTTCTGACAGTCTGTACCGGGTCAGGGTGGTTCTGTGTTCACTGACAGTCTGTACCGGGTCAGGGTGGTTCTGTTTACTGACAGTCTGTACCGGGTCAGGGTGGTTCTGTTTACTGACAGTCTGTACTGGGTCAGGGTGGTTCTGTTTACTGACAGTCTGTACCGGGTCAGGGTGGTTCTGTTTACTGACAGTCTGTACCGGGTCAGGGTGGTTTTGTGTTTACTGACAGTCTGTACCGGGTCAGGGTGGTTCTGTTTACTGACAGTGTGTACCGGGTCAGGGTGGTTCTGTTTACTGACAGTCTGTACCGGGTCAGGGTGGTTCTGTGTTTACTGACAGTCTGTACCGGGTCAGGGTGGTTCTGTTTACTGACAGTCTGTACCGGGTCAGGGTGGTTCTGTTTACTGACAGTCTGTACCGGGTCAGGGTGGTTCTGTGTTTACTGACAGTCTGTACTGGGTCAGGGTGGTTCTGTGTTTACTGACAGTCTGTACCGGGTCAGGGTGGTTCTGTGTTTACTGACAGTCTGTACCGGGTCAGGGTGGTTCTGTGTTTACTGACAGTCTGTACCGGGTCATGGTGGTTCTGTTTACTGACAGTCTGTACCGGGTCAGGGTGGTTCTGTTTACTTACAGTCTGTACCGGGTCAGGGTGGTTCTGTTTACTGACAGTCTGTACCGGGTCAGGGTGGTTCTGTGTTTACTGACAGTCTGTACCGGGTCAGGGTGGTTCTGTGTTTACTGACAGTCTGTACCGGGTCAGGGTGGTTCTGTGTTTACTGACAGTGTGTACCGGGTCAGGGTGGTTCTGTTTACTGACAGTCTGTACCGGGTCAGGGTGGTTCTGTTTACTGACAGTCTGTTCCGGGTCAGGGTGGTTCTGTGTTTACTGACAGTCTGTACCGGGTCAGGGTGGTTCTGTGTTTACTGACAGTCTGTACCGGGTCAGGGTGGTTCTGTTTACTGACAGTATGTACCGGGTCAGGGTGGTTCTGTGTTTACTGACAGTCTGTACCGGGTCAGGGTGGTTCTGTTTACTGACAGTCTGTACCGGGTCAGGGTGGTTCTGTGTTTACTGACAGTCTGTACCGGGTCAGGGTGGTTCTGTGTTTACTGACAGTCTGTACCGGGTCAGGGTGATTCTGTTTACTGACAGTCTGTACCGGGTCAGGGTGGTTCTGTGTTTACTGACAGTCTGTACCGGGTCAGGGTGGTTCTGTGTTTACTGCCAGTCTGTACCGGGTCAGGGTGGTTCTGTTTACTGACAGTCTGTACCGGGTCAGGGTGGTTCTGTTTACTGACAGTCTGTACCGGGTCAGGGTGGTTCTGTGTTTACTGACAGTCTGTACTGGGTCAGGGTGGTTCTGTGTTTACTGACAGTCTGTACCGGGTCAGGGTGGTTCTGTGTTTACTGACAGTCTGTACCGGGTCAGGGTGGTTCTGTGTTTACTGACAGTCTGTACCGGGTCATGGTGGTTCTGTTTACTGACAGTCTGTACCGGGTCTGGGTGGTTCTGTTTACTGACAGTCTGTACCGGGTCTGGGTGGTTCTGTTTACTGACAGTCTGTACCGGGTCAGGGTGGTTCTGTTTACTGACAGTCTGTACCGGGTCTGGGTGGTTCTGTTTACTGACAGTCTGTACCGGGTCAGGGTGGTTCTGTTTACTGACAGTCTGTACCGGGTCAGGGTGGTTCTGTGTTTACTGACAGTCTGTACCGGGTCAGGGTGGTTCTGTTTACTGACAGGAGAGATAAGCATGTTAGCTTAGTTTGGAGGCCTGCAGAGGGATTGATGACGACCAGCTGGATACCAGTGCAGCTTTGGGAGGGGGGGGTCAGTGCAGCTTTGGGAGGGGGGGGGTCAGTGTAGCTTTGGGAGGGGGGGGTCAGTGCAGCTTTTGGAGGGGGGGGGTCAGTGTAGCTTTGGGAGGGGGGGGTCAGTGTAGCTTTGGGAGGGGGGGGTCAGTGCAGCTTTTGGAGGGGGGGGTCATTGCAGCTTTGGGAGGGGGGGGTCATTGCAGCTTTGGGAGGGGGTGGTCAGTGCAGAGCTGAATGCTGTTTGTGTTCCTAAAACACATCATGCAGTGTTTGTGGTTTGCTGGCAACACATTTCTCTCTATCATTTCTTAAAAAGATTTCCTTCAGTGGAGGAAGTGTTAGCTCAGAGATTCACCCCACTCTTTTATTTTTGGTTTGTTCCAAAGTCAGTGACGGGGAGTAACGCCTAACCCTCTCGTCAAACAACTTTTATTTTTATTTAAAACTTTACATTCCAGTCAAATAAATACTTTGACTGTCATTTGTTTTTCACACTAATAAGTGTTGTCATTACATTCATTAAAGGCCCCCTATCATCCAAAAGTCACTTTCTGATGTCTTTTCTACATCACCGTGTGTCCCCGGTGTGTGTGTCACCGTGTGTCCCCGGTGTGTCCCCGGTGTGTGTGTCCCCGGTGTGTGTGTGTCCGGTGTGTGTGTGTCCGGTGTGTGTCCCCGTGTGTGTCCGGTGTGTTTGTCCCTGTGTGTCCCCGGTGTGTCCCCGTGTGTCCCCGGTGTGTTTGTCCCCGGTGTGTTTGTCCCCTTGTGTCCCCGGTGTGTCCCCGGTGTGTCAGGAGACTCTCAAAGTGTCAGGAAATAAACCCCTCTCTCTTCTCCTCCGTACCCTCATCTCTAAAAACGGGGAACAACGGAGCTGATCCAGATTTGCTGCGTCATGACCACATTACTAAAATGTGGGCGGGCTTTACACCCACGGGCCAATCAGAAACGTTACTGTCAGAAACAATGAGACGTGTTCTGGAAATAATATGGTCTGTGTTTACATTAGCATGCTAACACTCAGAGCTAACCTGTATTGGAGAGAGTCTGTGTGAAGAAGCAGGAAATCAAAAGGAAGTCACCTTGTGGTAAACCTGAGAGAGAGAAAGAGTTTGAGCTCCATCCTGTAGCATGATAAGAGATCTTTAAACACTGAACTGTGTTAAATTCATTAAACAATGAATAAACTAAACATAATGAAGCTTCATCTGCTGCTCCGTCAGGGGGAAGCTTCACCCCCAGAACCACCGGTTGCCATAGTGATGGTGGAAATGCCTGATGGGTGGACATGTCCTCCCTGATTAGCATATCAGCCCCTCACAGCCAATCAGAAGAGGTGAAGTGCAGGGGGACTTCCTCCCCCTCCTCCCCCCTCCGGGTGACTCCAGTAATCCTGAAGGAGATCTTCCTCCTTCCGTCAAACTGCCACTGGAGTTTCAGTCATGGCCACTGTGTGTGAACCACAATGTGTGTGAGCTGCAGTGTGTGTGTGCGCGTGAAAGCGTCTCTTCCTGTTGTGTGTGCAGTGTGTGAGGGGTGTGTGTGCAGAGAGCTCCCGGCTTTATCAATGAACTTTTTTTGGGACACGTTTCTCCTTTGTGTCTGTTTTGAATTTATTGTCCAGATGTTCGGTGAGTGAAAATTCTATATTTTTAAATCTCTTGTGAACTGTGTGTGTGAAGCTGATGTCCTCTTGTGTTAGGGTGTGTTAGTGAGGAACTGGGGACTGAGATATATCTGCTTTATGACCTTAATAACTTAATACTCTGTTGTTGTGTTTTTGTCCCGTCACTCTTTGTGAGGTTGGACAGTCATTGAGGGTAAGCCGTGATCAGCAGACTCTCCAAATGTAAATTACTCTTGTGTTTTAATCCTCTCATAAAGTTATTTTAGTTTAATAATAAATGTTTAGCACACACTGAGCTGTTTGAATGCTGGCTGGTTGGGACCTAGATGCATTGAAGTGAATGGAGCTCCGGCCCCCTCCCCAGATTCACTTTCAACATATCTGAGTGTTCCCGGCTGTAACCCGGACGATAGGCCTAATAAGCCCCTCATTTGCATACCAATGGCAGCCATGTGTGGCTACTGGTGCCCCAGTAACCGGACTGAGCTCCATGTGGGCCTCCTTTGTCCTCCCACCGCCTTTACTTTAATCCACATTCATTTTGTGGAACTGTCCGACTATTGAGATTAACCAAATCTCTCAAAGTAAATCAGTAGTTAGCCATGCTATGACTTTTTACTGCCTTCTACAAGGTGAACTTTTCCAATGATTGTCTAAAGGGGCTTGCAGGCTCCAAACAGAGCCCACCATCATTCATCATCAACATATCCAGCAGCAACAACCAAAGCTGTTGTTGGTAATTGGTAGAGAAAATATTGATTCCTCCAATAACTGCAAGCTCATCTCATTAATATCCGGGAGATGACTAAACCTGAATCAGTGTCTGGGGGGCAGACGACAGCTTGATGCTGCTGATCTGATCATATAAGACCCTCTCTGCTTACCCCCCCCCCCCAACCCGGGACCATATGGCAGTATGACAGCAGCACCGACTGTACTCTGAGTTCAATACAGAGGATAACCTACTGTACTCTGAGTTCAATAGAGAGGATAACCTACTGTACTCTGAGTTCAATACAGAGGATCACCTACTGTACTCTGAGTTCAATACAGAGGATAACCTACTGTACTCTGAGTTCAATACAGAGGATAGCCTACTGTACTCTGAGTTCAATACAGAGGATCACCTACTGTACTCTGAGTTCAATACAGAGGATAACCTACTGTACTCTGAGTTCAATACAGAGGATAGCCTACTGTACTCTGAGTTCAATACAGAGGATAACCTACTGTACTCTGAGTTCAATACAGAGGATAACCTACTGTACTCTGAGTTCAATAGAGAGGATAACCTACTGTACTCTGAGTTCAATACAGAGGATAACCTACTATACTCTGAGTTCAATAGAGAGGATAACCTACTGTACTCTGAGTTCAATACAGAGGATAACCTACTGTACTCTGAGTTCAATACATAGGATAGCCTACTGTACTCTGAGTTCAATACAGAGGATAACCTACTGTACTCTGAGTTCAATACAGAGGATAACCTACTGTACTCTGAGTTCAATACATAGGGTAACCTACTGTACTCTGAGTTCAATACAGAGGATAACCTACTGTACTCTGAGTTCAATAGAGAGGATAACCTACTGTACTCTGAGTTCAATACAGAGGATAACCTACTATACTCTGAGTTCAATAGAGAGGATAACCTACTGTACTCTGAGTTCAATACAGAGGATAACCTACTGTACTCTGAGTTCAATACAGAGGATAACCTACTGTACTCTGAGTTCAATACATAGGATAACCTACTGTACTCTGAGTTCAATACATAGGATAGCCTACTGTACTCTGAGTTCAATACAGAGGATTGTCTACTGTACTCTGAGTTCAATAGAGAGGATAGCCTACTGTACTCTGAGTTCAATACAGAGGATAACCTAATGTACTCTGAGTTCAATACAGAGGATTGTCTACTGTACTCTGAGTTCAATAGAGAGGATAGCCTACTGTACTCTGAGTTCAATAAAGAGGATAACCTACTGTACTCTGAGTTCAATACAGAGGATTGTCTACTGTACTCTGAGTTCAATAGAGAGGATAGCCTACCGTACTCTGAGTTCAATACAGAGGTTAGCCTACTGTACTCTGAGTTCAATACAGAGGATAACCTACTGTACTCTGAGTTCAATAGAGAGGATAACCTACTGTACTCTGAGTTCAATACAGAGGATAGCCTACTGTACTCTGAGTTCAATACAGAGGATAACCTACTGTACTCTGAGTTCAATACAGAGGATAGCCTACTGTACTCTGAGTTCAATACAGAGGATAGCCTACTGTACTCTGAGTTCAATACAAATGATAGCCTACTGTACTCTGAGTTCAATACAGAGGATAACCTACTGTACTATGAGTTCAATAGAGAGGATAACCTACTGTACTCTGCGTTCAATACAGAGGATAACCTACTGTACTCTGAGTTCAATACAGAGGATTGTCTACTGTACTCTGAGTTCAATAGAGAGGATAGCCTACTGTACTCTGAGTTCAATAAAGAGGATAACCTACTGTACTCTGAGTTCAATACAGAGGATTGTCTACTGTACTCTGAGTTCAATAGAGAGGATAGCCTACCGTACTCTGAGTTCAATACAGAGGTTAGCCTACTGTACTCTGAGTTCAATACAGAGGATAACCTACTGTACTCTGAGTTCAATAGAGAGGATAACCTACTGTACTCTGAGTTCAATACAGAGGATAGCCTACTGTACTCTGAGTTCAATACAGAGGATAACCTACTGTACTCTGAGTTCAATACAGAGGATAACCTACTGTACTCTGAGTTCAATACAGAGGATAGCCTACTGTACTCTGAGTTCAATACAGATGATAACCATCCATGGCAGTTATACCAGTGTCAAGGAGGGGGGGGGGGGGGGCAATTACATATTTGCGGACAACAGAGCCACATCATGAACACTTTCTCAGTGTGCACAGAATCTCACACACAGTTGAGCTGCCTGAGTTCTCAGTGTGTGTGTGTGTGTGTGTGTGTGTGTGTGTGTGTGTGTGTGTGTGTGTGTTCCTCCCCCTGCTGGCAGGAATATGGAAATAATGGATATAGTAGCTCAGAAAACGCCCTCTGAGGATGATGTGAATGTGGCGAGAAGTTTTCTCACGAAGATTTTACGAAGTTCCATGAGGTACGGTTCATCATTAGCTCCTCTTCATCAGTAGCTCCTCTTCATCAGTAGCTCCTCTTCATCAGTAGCTCATCTTCCTCAGTAGCTCCTCTTCATCAGTAGCTCCTCTTTATCAGTAGATCCTCTTCCTCAGTAGCTCCTCTTCCTCAGTAGCTCCTCTTCCTCAGTCATCAGTAGCTCCTCTTCATCAGTAGCTCCTCTTCCTCAGTAGCTCCTCTTCATCAGTAGCTCCTCTTCCTCAGTAGCTCATCTTCCTCAGTAGCTCCTCTTCCTCAGTAGCTCCTCTTCCTCAGTAGCTCCTCTTCATTAGTAGCTCCTCTTCATCAGTAGCTCCTCTTCCTCAGTAGCTCCTCTTCATCAGTATCTCCTCTTCCTCAGTAGCTCCTCTTCCTCAGTAGCTCCTCTTCATTAGTAGCTCCTCTTCATCAGTAGCTCCTCTTCCTCAGTAGCTCCTCTTCATCAGTAGCTCCTCTTCCTCAGTAGCTCCTCTTCATCAGTAGCTCCTCTTCCTCAGTAGCTCCTCTTCATCAGTAGCTCCTCTTCATCAATAGCTCCTCTTCATCAGTAGCTCCTCTTCAACAGTAGCTCCTCTTCATCAGTAGCTCCTCTTCCTCAGAAGCTCCTCTTCCTCAGTAGCTCCTCTTCCTCAGTAGCTCCTCTTCCTCAGTAGCTCCTCTTCCTCAGAAGCTCCTCTTCCTCAGTAGCTCCTCTTCCTCAGTAGCTCCTCTTCCTCAGTCATCAGTAGCTCCTCTTCATCAGTAGCTCCTCTTCCTCAGTAGCTCCTCTTCATCAGTAGCTCCTCTTCCTCAGTAGCTCCTCTTCATCAGTAGCTCCTCTTCCTCAGTAGCTCCTCTTCAACAGTAGTTTATCTTCCTCAGTAGCTCCTCTTTATCAGTAGCTCCTCTTCCTCAGTAGCTCCTCTTCATCAGTAGCTCCTCTTCATCAGTAGCTCCTCTTCCTCAGTAGCTCCACTTCCTCAGTAGCTCCTCTTCATCAGTAGCTCATCTTCCTCAGTAGCTCCTCTTCCTCAGTAGCTCCTCTTCCTCAGTAGCTCCTCTTCCTCAGTAGCTCCTCTTCATCAGTAGCTCCTCTTCATCAGTAGCTCCTCTTCATCAGTAGCTCCTCTTCCTCCATGTGATCACATACATCATGTTTCCAGAGATGACATTGCATTTAGCAATTTAGATTTAGATCATCCTCAGTGGCCTGTGATTCATCCCATTCGGTGTGTGTGTCTGTGTGTGTGTGTGTGTGTGTGTGTGTGTGTGTGTGTGTGTGTGTGTGTGTGTGTGTGTGTGTGTGTGTGTGTGTGTGTGTGTGTGTGTGTGTGTGTGTTTGTAAACACATGGTCAGTGTCTGTGAAGGAAGTGAAATGGTTGATGTGTTCCCTGTCCTTGTCATATGTTCTCTTCACCTTTTTCCTGACATGCAATCAGAAAGAATCGCTTTAAAGAGCGCGCTCCATCTCATCGTGCATGAGATGCTTTGAGTAACGGATAAATGACAGCTCAGTATAAATTCACTTTTTTGTTGCTATTTAAAAAGTCATGCTTATTTATTTTTATGGAAATTGAGTGAATTCAAAATGCCACACAAATCCCAGTGTCATGAATACAGAAAAAGAAGAAGGTATTTTAGAAATGTACTTTGGTTGTGTTGCAGTAGGGACTTCCTGTTCTGTGGTCAATGTGATAGAATATATAAAATAAGATAATGTGATGTGCCTGCGCTCTCTGCAGGAGGAACCAGCCAATCAGCCGGCCTCACTCCTGGCACTCCACCAAGTTCAACGAGAACCAATCAGAGACTGCCAAACCTCAGGCTCCACCCACGCAGGCGTGGCACACCATAAATGATGCCAGGTAACTGTCCAGCCTCAGGTGAACATGTATCCATCTCCCATTATGTTTACTGGATTATCTGAGAAGTTGTTTGCTCTATAAAATGTCAGGAAATGCAAAAGGATTGAAGCTGTCTGCTGTAGCTCTTTAACAGAAAGTAGATCCCTCAGTGATCTGCTGTAGCTCTTTAACAGAAAGTAGATCCCTCAGTGATCTGCTGTAGCTCTTTAACAGAAAGTAGATCCCTCAGTGATCTGCTGTAGCTCTTTAACATAAAGTAGATCCCTCAGTGATCTGCTGTAGCTCTTTAACAGAAAGTAGATCCCTCAGTGATCTGCTGTAGCTCTTTAACAGAAAGTAGATCCCTCAGTGATCTGCTGTAGCTCTTTAACATAAAGTAGATCCCTCATTGATCTGCTGTAGCTCTTTAACATAAAGTAGATCCCTCAGTGATCTGCTGTAGCTCTTTAACATAAAGTAGATCCCTCATTGATCTGCTGTAGCTCTTTAACATAAAGTAGATCCCTCATTGATCTGCTGTAGCTCTTTAACATAAAGTAGATCCCTCAGTGATCTGCTGTAGCTCTTTAACACAAAGTAGATCCCTCAGTGATCTGCTGTAGCTCTTTAACAGAAAGTAGATCCCTCAGTGATCTGCTGTAGCTCTTTAACATAAAGTAGATCCCTCATTGATCTGCTGTAGCTCTTTAACATAAAGTAGATCCCTCAGTGATCTGCTGTAGCTCTTTAACATAAAGTAGATCCCTCAGTGATCTGCTTTAGCTCTTTAACACAAAGTAGATCCCTCAGTGATCTGCTGTAGCTCTTTAACATAAAGTAGATCCCTCAGTGATCTGCTGTAGCTCTTTAACATAAAGTAGATCCCTCAGTGATCTGCTGTAGCTCTTTAACATAAAGAAGATCCCTCAGTGATCTGCTGTAGCTCTTTAACAGAAAGTAGATCCCTCAGTGATCTGCTGTAGCTCTTTAACAGAAAGTAGATCCCTCATTGATCTGCTGTAGCTCTTTAACAGAAAGTAGATCCCTCAGTGATCTGCTGTAGCTCTTTAACAGAAAGTAGATCCCTCATTGATCTGCTGTAGCTCTTTAACAGAAAGTAGATCCCTCAGTGATCTGCTGTAGCTCTTTAACAGAAAGTAGATCCCTCAGTTGATCTCATGTTGTCTGCTCTCTAGCTCCTCCTCAGATCTGTCCTCTGGTTGGGATCAGACCCCCCCGCTCAGAGTGTCCGATCAGTTCAGTTCCCACGGCAGCATGGACAGCTTAGACCAGCCCCCCCCCCCCCTCTGGCCAGCTTTCCCCCCCAACCAGCAGCATGGAGGAGCATCTGGGGGGGGAAGCGAGACTCGGCATACAGTTCCTTCTCCACCAGCTCTGGGATGCCTGACTACACCCTTTACAGGAGCAACGCGGCCTCCACGGAGAGCGTGGTTCATCAGGTGAGTCAGTGGGAGGCGGGGGGGAGGAACCCCAGGACCCCCCCAAGCCTGAGGGAGGGCCACCAGCCGGAGGACAGGCTGGCCTACTTCCAGATGCCGGGCCTCCCCTCTGCACAGACCGACGACCCGGCCCGGCACTCGACCTCCAGCAGAACCAGCTTAGGCCCGGTCTGGCATGTCCCGGAGAAAAAGAAGACCTCCTCCCCCTCTCCCCCCCCGCCCCCGCCCCCCCCCACCTGCTCGCAGCGACAGCTTTGCTGCCACTAAAGTTCATGAGCGAGGCCTTATACCCCCCTACCCTGAAGGTCCTGAACCACACAAGGCTTTCACTGAGAGCCGCCACGCTCACAACCTGCCGTCATCTGAAGCACCGAACCAGAACCAGAACCAGAACGAGTGTAGCTCCATTAGGCATCCCGCCCATCAGAGACACCACAGTGACAAGAGCACTTTCTACCCTCAGACCTGGACTGTCTCCGTCCCAAAGCCTCCTACCGCAGGGGGGTCTTACTGCAGCATGCAGGACCTGCAGGACCTGAACACCAACAGTTCTGCACCCTGCGGTCAGAACCAGAGCAGGATCCTCAGCTCCTCTGAACAGATCTCTGACAGCAGCCGGTACTACTGTGTCACCACACAGAATAATCCCCCCCTGTCAGGAAGGAGCCTCAGCACAGACCCCCCAGCTGTCAACCTGCAGACCACCAGCCCCCCGGGGAAGCCTCAGGCCCCCCAACACTCCCCTCACAGCAAAGACAGTAATGGATACAACATTATCCAGGTGACCACAGGGCTGGAAACCAAACCAAGCCCTGAGGACCGGGGGCTGCAGAGTTATCCTGCGAGCAGACCCCCCGAACAGAGGAGGTCTCTGCCCCCACAGGACTTCAGACATCAGGTCAGCAACAAGATCTGCCCCCAGGACGCCCCCATGCTTCACTCCCTGTCCATGGATGCTGCCGGGAAAACTGAGAAAACAAGAGTCCTGAACCCTGAGGAGTCCATTGAAGACCAGCAGGCGTGGCGCAGCGACCGCTTTGCCACCACTCTAAGGAACCAGATCCAGATGAGGAGAGCCAATCTGCAGAAGAGCACCAGCAGCCTTCCTGGTGCCGAGGCTGACGAGGAGCAGGAGGTCTGGAGGCCTGAAGGAGACCCTCCGTCCTCTGCAGACAGATCCTTCACCAGCTCCTACAAGGACCACCTGAAGGAAGCACAAGCCAGGGTGCTCAAGGCCACATCTTTCAGGAGGAGAGACCTGGTTTTACTAGAGGCCCCTGCAGCTGAGGCCTCACAGAACTACAGGAAGGAGGGTCCCCCTTTGCCCACAGTTTCTGAGTCTGTGATGGGTAAAACAATCGGGGGTCCGGTGACCCGCATCGGGGGCCGTAAGCGGTTTCCTGCAGAGAAGAAGGTCAGGTCTTTCTCTGAGCCGGACAAAATCCACCAAGTTGGGGTGAAGGAAGATCCTCCTCGCAATGAAAGCTCCTTACTGGACCAAAATAAGCTCCTCAGTGGAAAACCAGTTCTCCACAGCACCCCTGCAGAGATCCCCTCTGAGACCAGGGCCAGAGGTCTCTGCTGGACCCCTGAACCAAAGGAGGACTCAGTGAGGGTCCTGAACCAGGGAGACCCTGCACATCAGCCGGTACTAGACCAGCACCTAGTCCTGGACCAGCAGCGACTTGGCACCTTTGCTGAGTACGAGGCCCAGTGGAACACACAGAAGAATATCCAGGAAACCAGGTCCTCGGGTCGGTACCGATCAGCAGAGAACATCCTGGACCCGGAGGGGAGGAGGAACCCCACCTGCCTCCATGAGAGGTCAAGATCCAGTCCTTCAGCCCAAAGGTCCGGACAGGTGAGTCTCCCTGAAGGACTTCAGGAAATCTGTCTTTCAAGTCAAGTGATTTTTAAATAAATGTTGAAACAGATATGATTTTTGTATTTTTCAAACATATGTGCAAAATGTATAATAAATAAAAACGAGGTAATTGACAGAATATTACAAACAAACAAACTCACCAAAGAGCAAGTTGTTCAGGTCTTAAAGTAGGTTTTTACGGGTCTTAACGAAGTGGGGTTGTGGTTATGGTGATTCAACAAAGTGAGCCCGAAGACATTGCTAGGGTTTGGAGAAGCTGCCCACAATAACCACAAATCTGATCCCACATCAGTCTCAGCTGATTTCAGAGTTCTGCAGACTTGGATAGAAACATAAATGATATCTGTATGGCTCATTAACACGGAGTGATCAGAACAAGAGAGATAAACAGAGCACTGAAGGAGCAGGAAGGAGCCAAGTCAAATATTAATGTTTGTTCTTCAAGACACACCCTGAGCTAAGAGCGGCAGCAACACTCTCTATTCACTATTACTATTATATTACTAACTATAAGTCTACCTTCAACAAGGAAGCTGCAGCCACACGCAGACCACTCTCTGTTCTCTATGATATTATACCACTAACCCGACCAGGAAGCTGCAGCACCAGCCGCTCTGTTTCTGTGTGGGGGGGTTCAGCACAGCGGACTCACTGTTTGTTCATCTGTATTCACAGAGGATTCAAGTTCCTGCCGAACAGTCTGAGACAGAATACTCCCGGACCGAGAGCAAAGCTGCTGCAGCAGGGTGAGTAAATCTAATGCACCTTCAGCAGGGAGAGTAAATCTAATGCACCTTCAGCAGGGAGAGTAAATCTAATGCACCTTCAGCAGGGTGAGTAAATCTAATGCACCTTCAGCGGGAGAGTAAAGTCTAAATGCACATGCAGCAGGGAGAAGTAAATCTAATGCACCTTCAGCAGGGTGAGTAACTCTAATGCACTCCACACTTCAGGCACCGGGAGAGTACATCTAATGCACCATTCAGACAGTGTGAGGTAAATCTAATGCACCTTCAGCAGGGAGAGTAGTAAATAAATGCCCACCTTCAGCAGGGTGAGTAAATCTAATGCACGACCTTCAGCAGGGTGAGTAAATCTAATGCCCATTCACAGGGGAGAGTAAATCTAATGCACTCTTCAGCAGGGTGAGTAAATCTAATGCAAGTCCTTCACCGCAGGGAGAGTCACATCTAATGCACCTTCAGCAGGGTGAGTAAATCTAATGCAACCTTAGCCCAGGGAGAGTACATCTCAATGCACCTTCAAGCAGGGAAGAGTAAATCTAATGCACCTTCAGCAGGGTGAGTAAATCTAATGCACCTTCAGCAGGGAGAGTAAATCTAATGCACCTTCAGCAGGGAGAGTAAATCTAATGCACATTCAGCAGGGTGAGTAAATCTAATGCACCTTCAGCAGGGAGAGTAAATCTAATGCACCTTCAGCAGGGAGAGTAAATCTAATGCACCTTCAGCAGGGAGAGTAAATCTAATGCACCTTCAGCAGGGAGAGTAAATCTAATGCACCTTCAGCAGGGTGAGTAAATCTAATGCACCTTCAGCAGGGAGAGTAAAGTGTGTGTGTGTGTGTCGCAGGCCCCCTCAGCCGAAGGACCACACAGAGCTTCCCCCCCTCCCCTCTCCCCCCCTCATGGAGGAGCAGTGCCCCCCTTCTCCTCGCTTCTCTCCCCAGAGACTCAGCGAAGCCCCCCCCCAGGAGGAAGACAAGGACAGGTAAAGTCTTTATTCAATAATCATCATTAACCACAGCTGTGAGATCGGGGTCTCTTTACTTGGGGAGGGGGGTGGTCTTCATGGAACCCTTTAAAGGGGTCTCCTCTGTGACAGCCTGGGAGCTGGGGGGGCATCAGCCAACATGCACCCTGTCAGTAGAGAAGCTTCCTGCAGCTGAAGACCTGAATGAGGTCTGGATCCACTATGAGTAAAGCTGCTGTAACCTGAACTTGATCCTGATTCTGAATGTGTGTTTTAGGGAGCAGCGTCTGACAGGAATTAGACCCTCTGCAGGGACCAGGGTCCCCGTCAGGATTCTGCATTCAGGGGGGGGCAGCGACACCTGTCCATACCTGCAGCAACCTGACCCCCCCACTGTGGAAGCTCATGGGGGCCTCGCTGGTCTGGGCTCTGCAGGCCAGGACTCACACTGCAGTGCATTCAGCCGACACACTGATCCCCCCCACAGGGACCACCTGACCCCCACCCCAGATCACATGACCTCCATCAGTTCGCCACCAGTGGGCCTGCCCTGCAGAGAGGGGGAGACCTCTGGGGGTTTGGGAGAGACGAACTCTGGGGGGTCGGGGGGCGAGACTCCGGGTCTGTCTGAGGACCAGAGGAGGGAGGCGCTGGCCCGGGTCATCGTGGGGAAAGATAAATCTCTGGCTGAGGTTCTGGACCGCAGCCACATGAAGACCACCATGGACCTGATGGAGGGCATCTTCCCTGGGGGGGGGGCAGCTGCTGGAGGGAGGGAACCAGCGCAGGAAGGTCCCCCCCAAACAGCGTTCGGGCCCCCCTGCTGAGACCAGGTGAGACTCCCTGTAGACCAGGTCTCTGAGAGACTGATGATGATTGAGGCGCGTTCACACCAAGTACTTTTCCCACAATAGTTCTTGAGAACTCTTTTAGTTCTGATGAACTAAAGCAGATCGCGTTCACACCGAAATTAGTTCCTGGGGGTGGATTAGGTAAATGAAGCCGCATTTCTTCTTCTTCTGCTTTGGGTTTACTGGCAGGCCGCAAACAACTTCACGGCGAGTACAGTAGGTGGCGGTATGCACCTTAAAAATGCAATCCGCCAAAAAACTGAGAGAAGAAGAAAAACCTCCTGCGTATACTGCCACGCCCACCTGCTGTATATGAGGCGTCTGTTTACCTTCCGACCTCAGACATGAGCTTCGTCTGAGTTATTTAAGCAAACACAAATACAGATCGTCGACCAGTCAAATGCAATAGCAATGCTGATTCGGAAGCGAAGGCGGTTAAGAAGGATTGACAAAAAGGATTGGACGACGACATGCACGTGCTATGGATTGCGTAACCTGTGTGAAATGAATAAACTGTGCCAGGTGTGTCGTATGCACAATAAATAGGCTCAGCAGTTAACACACCTTTATTATATATCCTCCTGAGAGCAACTGCATCCGTCTGCCATGAACCCTACAGAAACCTACATGTTAGTTTCGGCCCATTTTGTGACGTGTAAAATGGGGGAAATAAAAAGTTAGCAAATCCCCATGTCCTCCTCAGAGGACATTCATAAAAACATTTAGATTTAGGTCAAATAATTATTACAGTGCTCTGAAACTCTGTACACTAAGTCCTAAGATGTTCCCTTACTATAATTAATGAAAAATATTGAACTCACAACACTGGTAATTACAAACGTAACCATTTCTCTTTCTATAAATAGTGCTTGTGTTGATGGACGCCATTTTGAAATACAATGAAATTATCTTTTTTAAAGCCACATATTTGGGGTGGGACACAAATAAAGCTTCGCCAGTTTATAACCGATGAAACATGATGATATCAGAATAATCACTGACATGTGATGTATAGGATGCTACACAGGTCACTGTAAAGATAACATGTCAGAGGAGAAATAAGCAAGCTTAGTTACTCCAGGGAGAATGTCCTTGTAATTAGTCATTGTAAGTCGCTTTGGATAAAAGCGTCAGCTAAATGAAATGTAATGAAAAATGTAAGATACAGGCTCTGTTTAGTCGCCATGTAGGTTCTCTTTTATTGCACACTCAAGACAATATCAATAACGGTATCACGCTTTCCCAGGTGTGTCGTATGCATGTAAATACAAGTTAAACGTTTTAATGTAAATATAAGTTAACATTTTCAATATAAAAGAAAGTGTCAGTAGTATCAAAACAATATATATATATATATATATAATAACAATAATAGGTAGGCTCAGCAGCAGACACACCTTAGTGCAAAGTGAAGTGTCAGTATTAATAACAGTGGCATATATATAATCACAATAATACAAAATTAACTGTCCCAGGTGTAGGCAATTTGGGGTGAAGTGTCTTGCCCAGGGACACAAGGACATGCTGACTGCAGTGGGGTTTGAACCTGTGCTCCCCTGATCCGAACACCAACGCACTAATCCACTGCACCACACTAATCCACTGCACCACACGCCTCCCAACAAGTCATTGTACAGTTTATCAACGACGACAAGTTTTTCTTTATTTTTTTATTGAAGGCCTGTTGGATTTAATCAGCTCGCTTAGCACTGCCAGAAGCCCAGCCTGAAAGGTATTTTGTTGCTCCACCTGGCGCCCAGCCTGGCACGCCGCCGAGTCAGCATGGTGCAGCATCACCATGAGCAGCTGGTCGTCCGATTCCTGGGCCTTGTGTGAATGCAGCAGCCGTTCGTCGTGCATCTCCTTGGCAAGCAGGTCCTCATTCTCCTTGCTGACCATGGCACGGCGGTCCTCCATCGCCATGATGGTGTCAAGGAAGCTGTCATACCGTGCCCGCTTTCCTAAGAGGAGAAATAAGCAAGATCAGTTTAATCGCCATGGTGCAGGCAGGGACAGTGTACAAGATGCAGGTGTAAAGTAGAAGATAAGATAGGATCAAATAATATCAAATAAAAAATAAATATCAAAGTGCCCTTATTTATTGTTTTGTGCTTAATGTATGCTTGAACTTTGTTTTATTAGTGGACAACAGTTCAATATGTAACCTTCTTTCAAGCCCAGAGTAGTTACAGTGCAAGTGGATTGACATCTAACATAACATGGCTGAGTAAAATTATAACAATCAATAAAAAAAGGAAAAATAAATTGAATTTCAGTTACATTTTTACTTAAATGTGCAAAATATTAGAACATCAGTCTTTGTGGCATGCAGGTAATCAACTGTTTAAGCTTTTACCATTAACATGTAGAATGAATGTTGCAAATGACAAATGAAATTATAGCAACTACCATGTAAGTTATTGTTGACCTCTATTCATTCAGTGTAGCCACAGAGGTAGCATTATGTCCAGCTAGCATGCTAATTTCTAACTTTATATTATCGTTTTACCCCGGAGGGGAAAGCTCACTAGTTTCCAATCCAGAGAGAAACACCTCGCCTGAAACACATGATTAGTGCCATGAGTTAGTGAAGCAAATTACAGAAGATTGCACACTTATTCACAAGTCAAAACGTTTTCATAGCGGCCGAGAATGTATGTTATTAGCTAGCTCGGTTCCGGCCTGCTAACAGTGTTACCCAATTCATTCTAGCATTGCTAACTCGATATACCGAGCAAATAAAAGTACATATGAAACCAGTATTTTGCAGATTAAAACAGTGCAGTGCATTTAGTTTATTTTACCTTCGTCGTCGTCCCGGCATGATTTTGCCAGGTCGGCTAGCTTTGCTGAACCACGGAAAGTGCCTTCAGTAGAAGCTTCTGGATCGCGTCCTCTGAGTAAATTGCCAGAAGCGCCGACAAATCCTCATCACTCCACCGCTCCGATGATTTATTTAGTGTTGCTATAATAATCAGACGTATGAATCTTTTTCTCCCACGAAAGTCCCTGCTCTCTAGCAGTGACTGAAAACGGTGTAAAAATGGTTCTGATGAACTAATTTAGTTCCTGGGGCTTTTTGATGTGAACGCAAATATATCGTAGTTCTGATGAACTATTGTGGGAAAAGTACTCCGGTGTGAACGCGGCTAAGGACGTGCAGTGAGGATCAGGTTCAGTGAGGATCAGGTGCAGTGAGGACCAGGTTCAGTGAGGATCAGGTTCAGTGAGGATCAGGTTCAGTGAGGATCAGGTTCAGTGAGGTTCAGGAGGATCAGGTTCAGTGAGGATCAGGTTCAGTGAGAATCAGGTTCAGTGAGGATCAGGTCCAGTAAGGTTCAGGTTCAGTGAGGTTCAGGAGGATCAGGTTCAGTGAGGATCAGGTCCAGTGAGGTTCAGGTGCAGTGAAGATCAGGTTCAGTGAGGATCAGGTTCAGTGAGGATCAGGTTCAGTGAGGTTCAGTGAGGATCAGGTTCAGTGAGGTTCAGGTTCAGTGAGGATCAGGTTCAGTGAGGATCAGGTTCAGTGAGGATCAGGTTCAGTGAGGTTCAGTGAGGATCAGGTTCAGTGAGGTTCAGGTTCAGTGAGAATCAGTGAGGATCAGGTTCAGTGAGAATCAGGTTCAGTGAGGATCAGGAGGATCAGGAGGTTCAGGTTCAGTGAGGATCAGGAGGATCAGGTTCAGTGAGGATCAGGAGGATCAGGTTCAGTGAGGTTCAGTGAGGATCAGGTTCAGTGAGGTTCGGTGAGGATCAGGTTCAATGAGGTTCAGGTTCAGTGAGGTTCAGGTTCAGTGAGAATCAGTGAGGATCAGGTTCAGTGAGGATCAGGAGGTTCAGATTCAGTGAGGTTCAGTGAGGTTCAGGTTCAGTGAGGATCAGGTTCAGTGAGGTTCAGGTTCAGTGAGAACCAGTGAGGATCAGGTTCAGTGAGAATCAGGTTCAGTGAGGTTCAGGTTCAGTGAGGATCAGGTTCAGTGAGGATCAGGATCAGTGAGGTTTAGTGAGGATCAGATTCAGTGAGGATTAGGAGGATCAGGTTCAGTGAGAATCAGGTTCAGTGAGGATCAGGTTCAGTGAGGATCAGGTTCAGTGAGGTTCAGGTTCAGTGAGGTTCAGTGAGGATCAGGTTTAGTGAGAATCAGGTTCAGTGAGGATCAGGTTCAGTGAGGTTCAGGTTCAGTGAGGATCAGGTTCAGTGAGGTTCAGGTTCAGTGAGGTTCAGGATTAGTGAGGTTCAGGTTCAGTGAGGATCAGGTTCAGTGAGGTCCAGGTTCAGTGAGAATCAGTGAGGATCAGGTTCAGTGAGAATCAGGTTCAGTGAGGATCAGGTTCAGTGAGGTTCAGGTTCAGTGATGATCAGGTTCAGTGAGGATCAGGTTCAGTGATGTTCAGGAGGATCAGGAGGTTCAGGTTCCGTGAGGATCAGGAGGATCAGGTTCAGTGAGGATCTGGTTCAGTGAGGATCAGGTTCAATGAGGTTCAGGTTCAGTGAGGTTCAGGTTCAGTGAGAATCAGTGAGTATCAGGTTCAGTGAAAATCAGGTTCAGTGAGGATCAGGTTCAGTGAGGTTTAGGTTCAGTGAGGTTCAGTGAGGATCAGGTTCAGTGAGGTTCAGGTTCAGTGAGGAGCAGGTTCAGTGAGGATCAGGTTCAGTGAGGTTCAGGTTCAGTGAGGATCAGGAGGATCAGGTTCAGTGAGAATCAGGTTCAGTGAGGATCAGGTTCAGTGAGGTTCAGGTTCAGTGAGGTTCAGTGAGGATCAGGTTCAGTGAGAATCAGGTTCAGTGAGGATCAGGTTAAGTGAGGTTCAGGTTCAGTGAGGATCAGGTTCAGTGAGGTTCAGGTTCAGTGAGGATCAGGAGGTTCAGATTCAGTGAGGATCAGGAGGATCAGGTTCAGTGAGAATCAGGTTCAGTGAGGATCAGGTTCAGTGAGGATCAGGTTCAGTGAGGTTCAGTGAGGATCAGATTCAGTGAGGATCAGGTTCAGTGAGGTTCAGGTTCAGTGAGGTTCAGGTTCAGTGAGGTTCAGGTGCAGTGAGGTTCAGGTTCAGTGAGGTTCAGTGAGGATCAGGTTCAGTGAGGTCCAGGTTCAGTGAGAATCAGTGAGGTTCAGGTTCAGTGATGATCAGGTTCAGTGAGGATCAGGTTCAGTGAGGATCAGGTTCAATGAGGTTCAGGTTCAGTGAGGTTCAGGTTCAGTGAGAATCAGTGAGGATCAGGTTCAGTGAAAATCAGGTTCAGTGAGGTTCAGTGAGGATCAGGTTCAGTGAGGTTCAGGTTCAGTGAGGTTCAGTGAGGATCAGGTTCAGTGAGGTTCAGGTTCAGTGAGGATCAGGTTCAGTGAGGTTCAGGTTCAGTGAGGATCAGGAGGATCAGGTTCAGTGAGAATCAGGTTCAGTGAGGATCAGGTTCAGTGAGGATCAGGAGGATCAGGAGGTTCAGGTTCAGTGAGGATCAGGAGGATCAGGTTCAGTGAGGATCAGGAGGATCAGGTTCAGTGAGGATCAGGAGGATCAGGTTCAGTGAGGATCAGGTTCAGTGAGGATCAGGTTCAGTGAGGTTCAGGTTCAGTGAGGATCAGGTTCAGTGAGGATCAGGTTCAGTGAGGATCAGGTTCAGTGAGGTTCAGGTTCAGTGAGGATCAGGAGGTTCAGATTCAGTGAGGATCAGGTTCAGTGAGGTTCAGGTTCAGTGAGGTTCAGTGAGGATCAGATTCAGTGAGGATCAGGTTCAGTGAGGATCAGGTTCAGTGAGGTTCAGGTTCAGTGAGGTTCAGTGAGGTTCAGTGAGGATCAGGTTCAGTGAGGTTCAGGTTCAGTGAGGTTCAGGTTCAGTGAGGATCAGGTTCAGTGAGGTCCAGGTTCAGTGAGAATCAGTGAGGATCAGGTTCAGTGAGGATCAGGTTCAGTGAGAATCAGGTTCAGTGAGGTTCAGGTTCAGTGAGGTTCAGGTTCAGTGAGGATCAGGAGGTTCAGATTCAGTGAGGATCAGGAGGATCAGGTTCAGTGAAGATCAGGAGGATCAGGTTCAGTGAAGATCAGGTTCAGTGAGGATCAGGTTCAGTGAGGTTCAGATTCAGTGAGGATCAGGTTCAGTGATGATCAGGAGGATCAGGTTCAGTGAGGTTCAGGAGGATCAGGTTCAGTGAAGATCAGGTTCAGTGAGGATCAGGTTCAGTGAGGATCAGGTTCAGTGAGGTTCAGGTTCAGTGAGGATCAGGTTCAGTGAGGATCAGGAGGATCAGGTTCAGTGAGGTTCAGGAGGTTCAGGTTCAGTGAGGATCAGGAGGATCAGGTTCAGTGAGGATCAGGAGGATCAGGTTCAGTGAGGATCAGGTTCAGTGAGGATCAGGATCAGGAGGATCAGGTTGTTAGGAAGGATCACAGTCAGGATCACGGTCAGGATCACGGACCCCCCCATTATCCCACTCATCACACAAACTAAACACACTAGCAACTTGAAAATGTTAATTATTCATGAGTAGTCTGTGTTTCAGGGAGCAGGACAGCATGGCAGCATCCGTCTCCATGGTAACCAGCTCGTCCTATTACAGCACATCTGCTCCTAAAGCCGAGCTCCTCATCATGATGAAGGACATGAGGGAGGAAGAGGATGAAGAGGATGAAGAGGAAGAGCTGGACTCTGAGGAGGAGCTGGACATAGACCTGGCCTTCAAGAAGGTACCAGCCCAATAACACACTCTAAAACAGGAGTTTACTTCCTGTTCCTGTAGTTCACTTCCTGTTCCTGTGGTTCACTTCCTGCTCCTGTAGTTCACTTCCTGTTCTTGTAGTTAACTTCCTGCTCCTGTAGTTCACTTCCTATTCCTGTAGTTAACTTCCTATTGTGTGAAGTCTGACTTCCTGTAGTTCACATCCTGTTCATATAGTTAACTTCCTGCTCCTGTAGTTCACTTCCTGTTCCTGTAGTTAACTTCCTGCTCCTGTAGTTAACTTCCTGTTCCTGTAGTTCACTTCCTATTGTGTGGAGTCTGACTTCCTGTAGTTTACTTCCTGTAGTTAACTTCCTGCTCCTGTAGTTCACTTCCTGTAGTTAACTTCCTATTGTGTGGAGTCTGACTTCCTGTAGTTAACTTCCTGTTCCTGTAGTTCACTTCCTGTAGTTAACTTTCTATTGTGTGGAGTCTGACTTCCTGTAGTTCACTTCCTGTTCCTGTTGTTATCTTCCTGTTCCTGTATTTACCTTCCTGTCCCTGTATGTACTTCCTGTCCCTGTATGTAACTTCCTGTCCCTGCATGTAACTTCCTGTCCCTGTATGTAACTTCCTGTCCCTGCATGTAACTTCCTGTCCCTGTATGTAACTTCATGTCTGTCACTACCCGATCTACCCCCCTGCCCGATCTGCACTGCGCATGTGCGAGATGGTCCGCCATATTGGACAACTACATACGGCAACTCTAATAGGACACTTGACACATTGGCGTTTGGCAAAGCACACAAAGAACCGAGAGAGATGAGTTATTGTTATTACAACGTGACTTCACTATTATTTAACAACTATTTTTATTGGGTTCTTTTATTTGGGGTTAAGTACATTGTCAGAATAAGTGAGAAATGGATTTAACTTCCATTAGACAGCTATATGCCATACATTTTTCACAGTAAATATTTATTCAGTATGATAACTGTCTAACAGAAGTTAAATCCATTTCTCACTTATTCTGACAATGTACTTAACCCCAAATAAAATAACCCAATAAAAAGAGTTGTTAAATAATAGTGAAGTCACGTTGTAATAACAATAACTCATCTCTCTCTGTTTTTTCTGTTTTCTTTGTGTGCTTTGCTAAAAGCCACTGTTTCAAGTGTCCTAGTTGGGTTGCCGTACGGAGTTGTCCAATATGGCGGACCATCTCGCACATGCGCAGTACAGATCGGGCAGGGGGCAGATTGGGTAGTGACAATGTCCCTGTATGTAACTTCCTGTCCAACAGCAGCAGCTGATGCAGAGCCTCAGCAGGAAGCTGTCTGTGCTGCAGGAGGCACAGCAGAGCCTGCAGGAGGACGTGCAGGACAACAATGCGCTGGGGGGGGCAGTGGAGGCTCAGGTGCAGCTGCTCTGCAAACCCAACGAGATCGAAAAGTTCCGCATGTTTGTGGGAGACTTGGACAAGGTGGTGAGTCTCCTGCTGTCTCTGTCGGGACGCCTGGCGAGGGTGGAGAACGCCATTGACAGCCTGGAGGAGGAGGCGCCCCCCCAGGAGAGGGTGAGACATATACACATATATACATATATATATATTAGGGCTGTCAAGGGGTCCGAAAACCAGTCAGTATCTGGTGTGAGGGTTAGGGTTAGGGTAATGTTGTGAATTGAGTGGCCCATGGTGGTGGTGGGGTTATGGTATGGGCAGGCGTATGTTATGGACGACGAACACAGGCCACTCGATTCATAACATTACCCTAACCCTAACCCTACCCCTCACACCAGATACTGACTGGTTTTTGGACCCCCCCAGTCCCCCCCAATAAAGCAAAACTGCAAGTTTCAGAGTGGCCTTTTATTGTGGCCAGCCTAAGGCACACCTGTGCAATAATCATGCTGTCTAATCAGCATCTTGATATGCCACACCTGTGAGGTGGGATGGATTATCTCGGCAAAGGAGAAGTGCTCACTATCACAGATTTTTTCAGATTTGTGAACAATATTTGAGAGAAATGGTTATTTTGTGTATTTAGAAAATGTTTTAGATCTTTGAGTTCATCTCATGAAAAATGGGAGCAAAAACAAAAGTGTTGTGTTTATATTTTTGTTCAGTGTATATATATATATAGGAGGCACATGAGACATATACATATATATATAAACATATACATATATATATATATAGGAGGCTCCCCCCCAGGAGAGGGTGAGACATATACACATATATACATATATATAGCAGGGCCCCCCCACGAGAGGGTGAGACATATACAGCCTGTTTTCTTATCTTTCAAATGGTGCTACATTTGTGAGGAACAAGCATTTGTGGGATGAGCAGCAGAGCGGAGTGTGTGGCAGACTGGACTTTCAAACGGTATAAGATTTGTTGCCAAGAAGCATTTTTACAACAAAGAAATCATCTACCAAAAACAAATGTCCTTACTTTTTGTGTTAAATGTATGTAGATATATATATATATATATACACATACACATAGATAAGAGAAGGCTTTGTCTCCTGTCTCCTGGCAGCGCCTGCTGACGGACAAGAGGAATGTTCTGATCCGGCAGCACGAGGATGCCAAGGAGCTGAAGGAGAACCTGGACCGGAGGGAGCGTCTGGTGTTTGACATCCTGTCGCTGCACCTCCATCAGGACCTCCTCACCGACTACCAGCACTTTGTGAAGATGAAGTCAGCGCTCCTCATCGAGCAGCGCAAGCTGGAGGACAAGATCAAGCTGGGGGAGGAGCAGCTCCGTGGTCTGAAGGAGAGCCTGGAGAACCGGACCTCCTTCTGAAAGGGAAGAGCCTGAGAGGAACTGTGAGGAGACTTGGGTTGTAGTAGTGGCTGGTGTCCAGCAGAGGGAAGCAGAGGACTCTTTAGAGACCCTGAAGAACTCCTCCTGCAGCCCCTCCACCTCCTGCACAATTATGGCTGCATTCATGTGCTCTCAGAGAAATGGGGAAAAGGAGCTCCAGACTCTATGTGAACTCTTCAGAACAAACTGAACTCTGGGATGAGTTTAAAGACTGTGGGAACATTTCTGTAGCGTCCATGTTGTTTCCATCCGAGGCGTCCCTGAACGCACCACCTGCAGTTTGCATTGTTTCCACGTTTTTAGTAATTTATTGTAGCCTGTTGGATCCGAGCAGGAGGGAAAGTGTTTCATCTTCATCACGCTGTGTCAAAATGTTGTCATGTTTCAGTCATTTTATTTCCACTCACTTTATTCTCCCCCCAAAGCAGCTGCTAACAGGAGGTAAATATGGTGGATGTGAAAGCACTTTTTGGGCTTCAGTGAACAGAGCAGAGCTCTTCACATTCAGACCTCCAGACCCTCCAGACCTGGACTCAAGTGAAGTCCATCTGAAGTGCCTGTCGGGGGGGGGGGGGGGGGGGGGGGGGGGGGGTTATATTTCTGATCAAGTGTTCTGTTGTGTTGCTCACATTACAGATGCTAAACATGTCGTTACGAGATACATTTCAAGACTAAAGATGTTTTGGATTTCAATCCTCCCACCTGTGTTTCCCATGATGCATCACTGCTGCTGCTCCTTATTTCAAAAATAAAAGCTTCTGCTGAATCGTGTGATGGTGTCCGAGTCACTCATTAACCTCCACGCCTCCTCCGATAAGAGCTGGAGACTTTGGAGTGTCTTTGAAAGTCAGCAGTTTCTGACAGCAGGACTCAGGATTAATGAAGAGGCCGATCCGGAGGAATCAGCAGGAGGTAACGGGGGGGGGGGGGGGGGGGGGGGTCTACATTTAAAGGACCATCAATAACTCCTGAGGAAGAGTTTCAACATTATGCTTCATTTTATTTAGAGACACTTTATTTATCAGTATAGATATATATTACCTGATGTGTTGAGGTATGCGAAACAAACAAAATGTGCAGGCTGCAGGCGAAATCTAGAGGACTGTCAACGGATTCATAAGAACTGCCAGAATATTTTATAACTTTCATGATTCTATGTCTTTTTATTGATCTTAAAACTACACAGAACAAAGCACAGAATAATTAGCTTCCTGTGGTAGAGGTTATGTATAATGAAATAGTTCAGTATGGATTCAGCAGTTTGTGTAATATTAATAAAGAGGGGTCGCTCTCAGACATTCAAAAAGAGGTTTATTATTAAAACCTATAAGGATGTTTATTGTTTTGTAAGGATATTTTGTACTTTTTAATTAATGTATTATAAAAGTCATACATGTTGTACACAGGTGAATGAAACATGTGTAACTAACAGATATCCCCATGAAGCCACCAATTTCATAACTGATATTAACACAATGATTTGTTATTACAGGTTATGTTTAAATATGCTAATAAGGCATCATTCAGTGCTAACTGTTGTTGTGCAAACCGAGTGAAATGAACTCCTGACTGTGATCAGAATCAAGTCTTTCAGTATTATTATGTAGTAGTTTCATCCGAGAGAATAGCTTTGGTTTATAATGGTGCACACATTAGCACAGGAAGAGAAATTAAGCTAATATATCACTTTTTAAGAAGAGATTTCAAAAACATTTATACAAATAAATAAATTAACAAAACATGGAGCCCAATAAGAATATGAAAAATAAAACATGCATCTGGTTAAACAGGCTTAGCTGTGCAGGTTAAAGAAGCACAAAGGTGCGGAGAGGATGGAGGTACAGAGGTGTTCAGGTTCACTCTGCAGAGATGATGGAGGTACAGAGGTGTTCATTTTCACTCTGTAGAGATGATGGAGGTACAGAGGTGTTCAGGTTCACTCTGCAGAGATGATGGAGATACAGAGGTGTTCAGGTTCACTCTGTAGAGATGATGGAGGTACAGAGGTGTTCAGGTTCACTCTGTAGAGATGATGGAGGTACAGAGGTGTTCAGGTTCACTCTGCAGAGAGGATGGAGCTACAAAGGTGTTCAGGTTCACTCTGTCGAGAGGATGGAGATACAGAGGTGTTCAGGTTCACTCTGTAGAGATGATGGAGGTACAGAGGTGTTCAGGTTCACTCTGTAGAGATGATGGAGGTACAGAGATGTTCAGGTTCACTCTGCAGAGATGATGGAGGTACAGAGGTGTTCAGGTTCACTCTGTAGAGAGGATGGAGGTACAAAGGTGTTCAGGTTCACTCTGCAGAGATGATGGAGGTACAGAGGTGTTCAGGTTCACTCTGTAGAGAGGATGGAGGTACAAAGGTGTTCAGGTTCACTCTGCAGAGATGATGGAGGTACAGAGGTGTTCAGGTTCACTCTGTAGAGAGGATGGAGGTACAGAGGTGTTCAGGTTCACTCTGTAGAGATGATGGAGGTACAGAGGTGTTCAGGTTCACTCTGCAGAGATGATGGAGGTACAGAGGTGTTCAGGTTCACTCTGTAGAGAGGATGGAGGTACAGAGGTGTTCAGGTTCACTCTGTAGAGATGATGGAGGTACAGAGGTGTTCAGGTTCACTCTGTAGAGAGGATGGAGGTACAGAGGTGTTCAGGTTCACTATGTAGAGATGATGGAGGTACAGAGGTGTTCAGGTTCACTCTGTAGAGATGATGGAGATACAGAGGTGTTCAGGTTCACTCTGCAGAGATGATGGAGGTACAGAGGTGTTCAGGTTCACTCTGCAGAGATGATGGAGGTACAGAGGTGTTCAGGTTCACTCTGTAGATATGGAGGTACAGAGGTGTTCAGGTTCACTCTGTAGAGATGATGGAGGTACAGAGGTGTTCAGGTTCACTCTGTAGAGAGGACTGAGGTACAGAGGTGTTCAGGTTCACTCTGCAGAGATGATGGAAGTACAGAGGTGTTCAGGTTCACTCTGTAGAGATGATGGAAGTACAGAGGTGTTCAGGTTCACTCTGTAGAGATGATGGAGGTACAGAGGTGTTCAGGTTCACTCTTTAGAGATGATGGAGGTACAGAGGTGTTCAGGTTCACTCTGTAGAGATGATGGAGATACAGAGGTGTATCCTTTAGTCGGAGGACAGAAAAAGCTTCATCATGAGCTACTGATTAAAGTGTTTTATATTTCCTCTTTCCATCACAGCTGTGTCAGTTTGTGTTTAAGCGCTCCGGCTCTGGTTCAGCGTTAGCATGAAGTACGTGGCTCACACGGCCCACTGGCAGTTCCTCGGCCTCATCTTTGGGGTTCTGGCCTGGATCCTCACCGTCGCCACCACCGGCCTCAACGAGTGGCGTCTGTGGTTCGTGTCTGACGTGTCCGTGGTCACCTCGGGTGTGGCCTGGGTGGGCATCTGGAGAGCCTGTTTCTACAGCCACGCCCTCCCCATCATCGAGAACTGTCGGAGCATCAGCATCTCGGACAGCTTCGCCCCGACAGAGATCCCCGTCGCCCAGGTGAGTCCCACAGAGATGATAGGGCAGGGGTCGGCAACAGGCGGACCGCGGTCCGGATCCGGACCCAGACGCCGACCTATACGGACCCGGACCTATAATCAATACATTAATAGAGGATTTCAATTTTGACGGGGCGATTCTATTTTAACCGCCGCCGACAGGGGGTGAAAGATACGAGTGAGCGATACAGGGAGAGAAACACAGAAGAAGAGACGAGAGCGCGGCAGAGAGAAGCGGAGAGGAAAGTAAGTGAAGAGAATAATTAGCGATACAGGGAGAGAAGCGGAGAGGAGAGTGAACAGGCGAGTTAGCGGCAGACAGGGAGAGACACATAATGACACTTGGCGCTCTCCAAGAAGAGGAACGTGGACAGTGAGAACAGAGCTTTGAACCCTGAGTGGACTCGTTCATGTTCATCCGGCCCACTGGGAGCACAGAGCCAGTGTGTCTCATTTGTTCAAAGACCGTGGCGCTCATTAAAAGAGACAACATGCCACTATGAGACAAAACACCAAGTGTTTGACCAAACGTTCCCTCTCTAGTCAGAACTGAGGTCAGATGAGCAGCTTCAGAGCCCGATATGATCAGTCCACCAGGATCTAATGTAAACTAAATATGGTTCCAGGGCAGGCTAACCGAGGCTAACCAATGAGCTAACCGAGGCTAACCAATGAGCTAACCGAGGCTAACCAATGAGCTAACCGAGGCTCACCAATGAGCACCTGCATGTGTAGGAGAATGGCCCTGACACCATTTCATCCCAGATCTAAACTCCTGGCAGGACAACAAGCTCCAGCTCAATTCTCGCACTGAACAGAACAAAGTGAGTGAAGGACTGCAATATAAGAGGGACAGAAAGATAAACTTTAAACTGTTCAATTGTTATGATGTGTAAAGACTGATACTAGGCGCGTAACCCTAACCCGCCATTTTATTATCCTCGCATTAGCATTATTAGCATTAGCATTAGCCCAGTGCAGAAACGCAGAGAGACTAACTTATGGCAACACAACATAAAACATGGGAGCGGTGGAGATGAGGAGGTGTCGGCGTTCTGGCGATTTACTCAGAAGGCCTTCCCCAACTCCGGGGACTTCCGGCCGGGGAGTTTGGGCGGCAGTATACGCCGTGAAGTGGTTTGCGGCCTGCCAGTAAACCCAAAGCAGAAGAAGAAGAAGTGACGTCAGCGGCTTCATTTGCCTAATCCACCCTCAGAGACTTATTCCAGTGTGAACGCGATCTGTACTTAGTTCATGAGAACAACTAAGTTCTCATGAACCTTTGTGGGAAAAGTACTGCGGTGTGAATGCGCCTATTGTCCTATAATCGTCTGAAACAGTGAAGTCATGATGTGAAACGGTTAACAAAGAAAAAGGGAAACTCAAGCTGCTGCTACACTTTATTTTATTTATCTAAAATTAAGCACTTTTAAGATGCACACTTTTTCAAAAGCTATTTTATTTATTTTCTCTATTTTATTTTTAAATGCAGCCCGAGAGGAACATTACACATATCCACAGTATTTACTGTATATCTGTAGAGTTCAATGTTCATTGACTATACATATTGTTGTTTATGAATTGTACTTTCTTTATTTGTTTGGCAGTCAGTTGTTGATTACATGCAGACGTTGATAAAGCTACTTCAATATATATCACACTAATTCATAAAGCAACTTTGCATGGGGACATTTTCTCTAACTGGACCTCGTTGAATTTGAGTTGAATACCCCTGTGATAGGGAATAGGAGTCATGGCGCGTTATGTGGCAGTGCGGCCATCTTTGGAGGATACAATACAATACAGCTTTATTTATAAAGCACTTTAAAACCTCCAGACCAAAGTGCTGTATAGTCAAATAAACACCAACAAACATACACAAATCACACAGCTAAGCTCACACACCATAAAACAAGTACAAGTAAAAACAATAGATCATTTTAAAGCAACAAAAGCAACAATCTACAAGATGCCAAAACGCTAAGGAGAAGAGGTGGGTTAGCAACCGCACGTTAATCAAAACAAATACAGTTGCTCCATTTTACGATAAATTAAAATAGAAGATAATAGTTAAATGAAATAAAAAAAATGTAAACAGAAGAAGTTCAAGTCAAACTGCGACATCGAACTCCAACCGTTAATATGAAAATGTGTATTGACAGTTTGTACAGTGATGTTTCAGCTGTAATCCAGATAATAAAGATTATTTCTGGTTGATATTTAATAATAATGTGCTAAGTTCCTGACTGTGTGGTGTATATATGACTGAATCTGTGTGCAGGTGCTGATGGTTTCGGCGCTGGTCTGCGGTCTGCTGGGGAACCTGAGCGCGGCAGCAGCCATGAGGACGGTGTACTTCTCGATGAAGGATCGCAGAAATGTTGGGACGCTCTTCAGGCTGGCGGGGGGGCTGTACCTGCTGACCGGGGCCTGCAGCTTGGTGCCGCTGCTGTGGAACATGTACTCGGTTCTGAGCAACAGAACCATCCACTTCCCTCCGGACTTTCTCCTCCCTGCAGCGCCGGCTCGGCAGCAGCTCGGCGCCGCCATCATCGTGGGTCTTTTCGCCTCCGCCCTGATGCTCGTCAGCGGGGTGCTGTTCCTCTGCTACAGATACGCCTGGGAGGCACTGGGAGACTTCAGGGAGCCAGAAACAAGACCAGAACAGAAGTCTGGACTACCCAACGGAGACCAGCGGGGCCAAGATAATCCAGCATTTCTCAGAGAAGACAACTCATGAGTGGAAACAACTCATCAAAAACTCTTCACTAACTTAAATTCATGGATCTTCATCTTTTCCATCAGGGCGAAATAGTCCTGGACAGAAGAAACGTTTTTAAATGACTCACTGCATCTCTTATTGACCTGAAGAAGTACAGTTTTAGAAAATAATCAAGGAAAACATCTGAAATGTAATTGGTGTAGTGGTCAGGTGTAGATGGTAAGACTCTATGAAGGTTCATCAAAAAGGGCAACCGTCTGGACAGGACAGGCAGAGGAAAGCCATGTTGTATTGTTGTATTGCACATTCATTCTGAATTACTGCTGTGATTAAAAAATCCCGGTGACTACGTCCACCTCTTATATTCAGAGTCTTGCTTCAGTGTTTGTAATCCTTTATCAGCTTTATCAGTGTGCCATCGGCTCACCACCGAGTTTCCTCATTCAGCAGCAGATATACAGATATGAAATGAACATACTTTTATTCATACATAAATATTTCTTATTAATGTTTACAGTTCTCTCTTAAGCTGCTAAATGCTCTGCTGATAGCCTGGAGCTAACACTGCTAGCGCTGCGGCAGCAGGATTTTTATGTTTCACACTGAAATCAGTTTCTGTGAGTAGGAGTACAGGTAAACAGGATCATTCAGATGAATCTGGTTGCGCACGTTGTTTTGAATAATCTCTGGTAATAAAGTGTATTCAGAGATCAGCTGATCAGCTGTTCTATGTTTCAGAGTTCAGGGCTTGATGGATTTATCATATCTGCTGTAATGAAAGTTATCTCAGCACTATCAGTAGGAGGGGGGGGGGGGGGGGGGCATGCCCAGGTGTGGGCAGGGCCCCATCCAGGGACTGGGGAACAAGATCATGTGAACCGTGGGAGGCTGACGAGTGGCATGTGAGTCGGGGGGGGGGGGGGGCACAAAGAGCCTCTTCAGCTGAGAGTCTAAAGGGGGGGGGGGGGGGGGGGTGGACACAGAACCAGCAGGTTCATACTGTCAGAAACACTCTGATTATGTCAGACACACTGAAACACTAACACATATAGAACTCTTTATTTAAAAAATAAATATAAAGAGGAGGCATCGTGCAGACAGTGATGAACAATATGAAACTAAATGAAACACAGAAGCATAAGAAGAGGCGGTTAATGTTGACATTTGTTTTTTTATGGAGAGATTTCTCGTTCCAGCCGGTCAGATAATCGTCTGTTTGTTGTGAACACTATCATGGTGGTTTATCTGCAGCTTCATATTTTCCTGAATTCTGATCAAAGCCTGGTCTCTGAGGGGATCTGAGACTCTGGAGACGTCCTCTGAGCTGAGACCCTCCGTTATCTCTGAGCTGAGAACCTCCATTACCTCTGAGCTGAGACCCTCCGTTATCTCTGAGCTGAGACCCTCCGTTATCTCTGAGCTGAGTCCCTCCGTTACCTCTGAGCTGAGACCCTCTGTTATCTCTGAGCTGAGACCCTCTGTTACCTCTGAGCTGAGACCCTCTGCTACCTCTGAGCTGAGACCCTCCGTTACCTCCGAGCTGAGACCCTCTGTTACCTCTGAGCTGAGACCCTCTGTTACCTCTGAGCTGAGACCCTCCATTACCTCCGAGCTGAGACCCTCCGTTACCTCTGAGCTGAGACCCTCTGTTACCTCTGAGCTGAGACCCTCCATTACCTCCGAGCTGAGACCCTCCGTTACCTCTGATCTGAGACCCTCCGTTACCTCCGAGCTGAGACCCTCTGTTACCTCCGAGCTGAGTCCCTCCGTTAACTCTGAGCTGAGACCCTCTGTTACTCTGAGCTGAGACCCTCTGTTACCTCTGAGCTGAGACCCTCCGTTAACTCTGAGCTGAGACCCCCCGCTACCTCTGAGCTGAGACCCTCCGTTACCTCTGTACCTCTGAGCTGTGACCCTGTTACCTCTGAGCTGAGACCCTCCGTTAACTCTGAGCTGAGACCCCCCGCTACCTCTGAGCTGAGACCCTCCGTTACCTCTGAGCTGAGACCCTCCGTTACCTCTGAGCTGAGTCCCTCTCCTCCGCTGACATACTTGTACATTTGGTTCAGCACTTCATAATAGTATATTATAGCTAGAATATCAAGTATTTTCCCTGAAATGAAGGATCTGAGTTCTTCAACATCAAAAGAAACCTCATGGCTGCTCATTAGCTTCATTGAAAGTGAGTGCTTTGATTCTTTTGACTTGTTATCTTAATGTTGACCTCTGTGAAGCGTCTTTGAGCACCTGATAAAGCAGTTGATAAATACAATGTTTTATTATTATTACACAAACACACAAGTACACCATCAGTGTGTGAATGCTGCAGCAACATGTATATGCTTCAGACTGTGTGTGTGTGTGTGTGTGTGTGTGCATGCTGCAGCAACACCCTGCAGACAGTGTGTGTGTGTGTGACGCAGGAACATGTAACACTGCAGACACACGCCTCTGACCTCTGACCTCAGCACATTTGTGTGATTATGTATCGGCTCTGCATTCTTCAGCTGCACGCCGCCCATTAGAGCCTTCATTAAACACAGCTTAGCCCAGCGAGCTCCAGGAAACTGGAGGAATGAACCTCACGCTGCGTTTCCAGCCGAAGGTTGCCCTCCGTCCTCTTGCTCAACAACACACACACACCACCACCAACACACACACTGACAACACTCACACTGCCAACACACTGCACTGTGACATAACTCAGGACAAACTGCTGGACGCTGTTAGAAAGAGAAAACAGTTCGGCAGGAACCAAATACAGTTTCTTTTCAGAGAAGGAGAAACCATGTTAAAAAAGAGACTTCAATAGATTTTAATATTATAATAACTCTTTATGTGGATCATCTGAGCTCTTTATGTGGATCATCTGAGCTGCTCCTCTAAGATACGGTCTATGTTCAGGAATAACTCAATCACAGCATTTGAAAAGCTTAGACTGAAATAATATTATAAGAGAAAGATCCTAAAGCCAATAAGCCACTAAGGAATATAAAGATTTCATAAAACATCTCTAAAAAAATATTCATTTGTGTTCTGGTCACAGCAGGTGAAGTGAAGATGAGTCATTTATAAAACGTCTGGTTTTAGCGTCATTCAGTCGTCCGTGATAATCAGCTTTATACAGGAGCCAGATATTTACATCATTATCTGAGGCAGAATGAGGTGGGGGTTTACAGGTCTACAGGTCTGCAGGTCTGGAGGTGGTGGTCCCGGTGCAGGTCTACAGGTCTAGAGGTGTTGGTCCCGGTGCAGGTCTGCAAGTCTGCAGGTCTAGAGGTGTTGGTCCTGGTGCAGGTCTACAGGTCTGCAGGTCTAGAGGTGGTGGTCCCGGTGCAGGTCTAGAGGTGTTGGTCCTGGTGCAGGTATACAGGTCTACAGGTCTGCAGGTCTAGAGGTGTTGGTCCCAGTGCAGGTCTACAGGTCTGCAGGTCTATAGGTGGTAGTCTCGGTGCAGGTCCACAGGTCTAGAGGTGGTGATCCCGGTGCAGGTCTACAGGTGTACAGGTGGTAGTCCCGGTGCAGGTATAGAGGTGTACAGGTGGTGATCCCGGTGCAGGTCTAGAGGTGTACAGGTGGTAGTCCCGGTGCTGGTCTATAGGTTTAGAGGTGTACAGGTGGTGGTCCTGGTGCAGGTCTACAGGTCTAGAGGTGTACAGGTGGTGGTCCTGGTGCAGGTCTACAGGTCTAGAGGTGTACAGGTGAGGGTCACGGTGAAGGTCTACAGGTCTAGAGGTCTACAGGTGGTGTTCCTGGTGCAGGTAATTCGTTTTCCTCTAAACGTACTCGGATCGCTTCTTGAAGGACACGTCAGTGCTCATCACCTGGTACCTGCGCTGCAGCGCCGGCTCAGTTCCCCCCCCCGATGAATACCAGCAGGCCGAGACCAGCAGCAGCCCGGCCACCACCAGCAGGAACCCCCCCGCCCAGCCGATGAATAGAGCGTCTCCAAACTCCCACCGAGGAACCACATCCGGCACTTTATCGTCAAAGAAATGCATGACGGCCAAGTGTGCCATGTAGGACACTGGAACGAGACAGAGCACTCCAGACACGACCCCCAGCACCCCCCCTATGCTGGTCAAAATCCTCTTGGGGCCCCCCCTGCAGCTGTTCACCATGTGGAGTCCAGGCGTCGCCACCAGCAGGCCCAGCACGCCCACGGCCAGTGAAGCACACATGAGGATACGAGACAGCTTCAGGTCTCTGGAGAGGCCCAGCAGGCTGTCGTAGGCCCGGCACTCCATCCCCCCCACGTCCTGCACCACACAGGTCTCCCACAGGCCCAGCTCGTAGCTCTCCACCGGCAGTAGGGCGGTGGACATGGTTAGCCACTGCGGCAGGAGGGTAGATGCTAACACGCAAAGCCACGCCGCCACGAACAGCAGCATGGCCAGCAGCTCCAGAGCGCAGGAGTCCATGTCCCTTACTTCTTCTTCTGCTCTTCCAGACGAGAGGCTGCCGGAGACGAGAGGCTGCCGGAGATGAGAAGCTGCCGGAGACGAGAGGCTGCCGGAGACGAGAGGCTGCCGGAGACGAGAGGCTGCCGGAGACGAGAGGCTGTCGGAGACGAGAAGCTGCCGGAGACGAGAGGCTGCTGGAGAGGCTGCTAATTAGAGGAAATAGCTCGCTCTGAGCTCCTTCTCTGCTCCCACTCCTCAGAGTTTCCTCTCGGGGGGAGGAACAGACCTCCTGCTGCACCAATGGGCAGCGAGGCGACCACAGGGGGGACATTAGATGCAGGCAGGATATTATGTGTTGCATGTTTATGCATCCTGTGTGACCTCCCTGTGTATAAATAACTGAGAAATGACAAGTTAAACCCTAAAAACGGGATTTTATTCATTAAAAAGATAACCTTCCTGCCTGAAGAGATTATATAAAATATTATAATATTATACCATATTATTACCTTTATTATTTTTTGTCTTTATCTTATTAAAGGCAAAACCAGATAAAAAACCTGTTGAATAATTGATTTGAAGTTGTTAGATTACTTCATAAACCATTTAGAATATTTAATAATGCAAACTCATAGACGTAATTATGAATATACCATATAAGTTAATTTATGTAATAAGTATACAATATCAGGTTAATAAGGAATGTGTGATATGTTATACGTTTGATGGTGATGTGTGTGAGCATGTGACTGAAACAGAGCTGCTGATTGTTGCTCTGTGGGAGAAAATGAACAAACAACAGAAATGCACAGATAAGATCCTCTGGAGAACAAAACGCTCAGCTGACACACACACACACACACACACACACACACACACACACACACACACACACACACACACACACACACACACACACACACACACACACACACACACACACACACACACACACACACACACACACACACACACACACACACACACACACACACACAACTGTTCAGCTTTGAGCAGGGAGAAGCTCCGTCAGCTCGAGTCACTACTTCTTGAGCTGAAGGACTACAACTATTAGAAATCTTGTATAACAAATGAATTGTTAAAATCTATGAAACACAGAATAGAATACAAAATAAATGATGAGTACATTGTATGCAAGTTTAAACATATATGTTTCATATAAATACATATACGTTTCATTCAACTATAAACTGTCAATGAAAAATCCCTGTGACCCCTGGATTTTGGGGTCAACATGGGTTGTTTCTTTGCTTTGACCAAGTAAGACTGCAGGTTTCTGTTTTTCCTAAATGCTGCAATAATACTGTGGTCTTGTAAGATGTCCGTTTTTCCTATAATGTTTTGAAAGTAGGATTTTATAACTCTGACTAGTTTAACAGCTGACTGGGAATATGTAGTGATAAAAGGCCATTTGGAGGAGACCAAATTGTCTCTGTTGAAATGTTCTAAAGCATGTTCTTAGAAAGGAACGTGTATACCCTAGAGGTCAATGCACCAAAAAGCGTTTTGGTGGCCATTTTGAAATCATCTCTGTTACTGCATATTCTATGGAACCTCAAAAGCTGTGATTTAACCAATCCCGTATAAGTGTGATTCGGATGGTGGCTTGTTCTGTGGAGCAGGGCGTGGGTGTCTGTCTCTTTAAAAAAACTTTAACATTCAATTTGTGTGTTTTCTGGAAGTTAATTCCTTTGAATGTGGTGGTGTTGAGGAAATCCACTGAGGTGAAGCTGGTGATGTATTTTAGTGAGATGGATTTGTTGTGGTTATTCAGAGTGATAACTAATACATCAAAATCCGCAGATGTTTCCCACTTTGCCATAACATTTTTCGCATAGGCCGGAGCAAACTTCTTCCCCATAGCAGTACCTTCACGGCCCCTACACACGGCGGCGTGCGTTGCCGCTTCAACACTTCTGCCCATTCACTTTGAATGGGGTGACGTCACGATTTGCCGAACTGCATTGTGGGAGCAAAGCGTAGCTTCTCTCGCGGTGCTCGCTGCAAAAGTAGAGCAATGTTCTACTTTTGCCGCCTCGACGGAGGCGTCATCCAATCAAATCCCGCGTATGCAAATCTGACAGTGCAAGCGCTAGCCAATCAAACCGCGTGTATGTTGGGAGAGCCAGACCGCAGTTATTTCCCATATGTCAAAAAATGGAGGAGAAAATTATCGTGGCGGTAGGGAATCACCCAGTACTATATGACCAGTCCCTCTTTACATACAGGGATACAAACCGGAGGAACCAGGCATGGGGGGAGGTGGCAGAGACAGTGGGTGAAACTGGTAGGTTTTCGCCTGTTTGTGGATTTTATATCCAGTGTACTTCGTTTGAATGGACAGCTAGCAAGCATAGACAGTATATTTAGCCAGCATGGATGTAGCATGAATATTGCATAAAATAGCACCATAGACATTAATGTCATACATGTTCATCATATAAAGTGTGACATGTAAAACCTTTTATGCAATTGACAGTGATAAAGGGATTTGGTTTTCATTAATGGAGGAACAATTTAGTAAATTCTTCAAGTAATTCAAGAAATTAAGTTTATTATTTCATTTAATTAGATTAGTGGAAGTATGCAGGACAAAATGGAAGACACTGAGGGACAGATTCAGAAAGGAGAAAACCAAGGAGAAAGAGGCAAAGAGAAGCGGGGCAGGTTCGTCCGGGGGATATAAGCCGTGTGACGTCCAGCATTGTCCCCCGGCAAACTCTGCCTCCATCCAACCTGGTGCCAGAGGCAGAGAGCCAGCTAGAAAGCCAGCCAAGTGTCAACCAGCCAGCCGACAGTCAACAAGCCGAGGCAAGGGAGACAGGACAGGAGGAGGAGGCGATTGTTGAGGACCTGGACCGGGGAAAGAGGAGAAGGGGAAGGGAGATGTCCTCCTTCGAAAAAGGCTTGATGTCAGCTGTTCGTGCCACCACCTCAACCTCATCCTCCACCACCCCCACCAGTAGTGGTGGAGGATGAGGATGAGTTATTTTTCAGGAGCCTCTTGCCTGCCATGCGAAGGCTGTCCATAGCAAAGAGGACAAGAGTCCGATTTGAAATATACAAATTAATTTTTGAGGCAGAGCAGGAGATGGAAGATAACTGATTTTTGTAATTCACACACATACTACACTACATGTGTTACACTTATCCAATCATCACACACTTACATAAATAAAAGTTATTTAAAAAGTATGTTATGACTATACTGTGTCTTCACTTGTTCATGTGGTTTGTCAGTTGCAACATACCAGAAGCTTCATGTATGTCGATATATAATGTGCTGTCTTCTGTACAATTTTCCATGTGAAACCCTGTTGAAATTATGAGTGGTTTATCAGTAAAAAGGTTGTTAGCAATATCATAATATCAATTCAAGAAACATGTTTATAAGGAATGTTTTATTTTGAAATGGCTCATTTGGAATATTTGCTTTTTAAAGAAAATATGGGTAGCTCTTAAAACAGCTTTTGGTTTGGAGGCTCTTAAAAGAGCCATGGTGACCCTACACCACATTCTGCTGCCATGGCACTGCACCCTCCTCATTGAAATAGGAGCAGAAGTTCTCCCGCAGTTGGAGCGATCTGCGTGTGGCATTGTTGGAGCCCATCCTCGGTGCATCACACAGGGTTGGAGTATCTGGAGCTTCATCCGTGGACTCTGCGATAGGTGTGTGTGATGTCCTTCCTATCGTCTTCCTGCGGAGGAAGTTGTGCAACACACAGGCAGCCTTCACACACAACTCTGTTACCTCCGGGCTGGTGGTAATGACACACCTGAACATTCTCCACCGAGATGAGAGGATGCCAAACGCACATTCAACCACCAACCTGGCCCGGCTGAGGCGGTAGTTGTACATCCTCCTCTCACGTGTGATCTGGCATCCAGGGAATGGACGCAGCAGGTTGTCCAGCAGCGGAAAAGCCTCATCTCCAACAAATACATGGGGAAGAAGGCCGAGCCGCTCTGCTCCTGGGATGACGGTGTCAGGTGGTAGCTGCAGACTACCATCTCGGAGGCTCTCTCCAAAAGCGGAATTCCGCAGGCTCCCACTGTCGCTGCTCCTACCAAAGCCTCCAACATCCACTACCCTGAAGAGGTACTGGGCATCCACGACAGCCAGTAGTACCAAGGAGTGACTGGACTTATAATTGAAGTAGAGGGACCCAGAATTAGCTGGAGCCTGGATCACCACGTTCTTCCCATCAATGGCACCAACACAATTTGGAAAGTTCCAGCGCTCCTGGAACTCAGCAGCGATGGCTCTCCAGTCCTCCATCTGTGGTACCGGCATGGTCTCCTCAACCAGGGCGGTCCAGATGGCACCCGCAACCTCCCTGACGATGACAGCCACTGTTATATAACCAACCCTATAGCTGAATGCTATTGTCCTGTACGAGTCACCGGTTGCCAGGTACCTGAGAAAAAAGTAATATACATGATTTAAAAAATAAAATAAATGTCAGACCCCACACATACACACCCCACAAACACACAGACCCCACACACACACCCCACACACACATACCACACATAAAGACCCCACACACACACACACACAGACCACACACACACACACACAGACCCCACACACACACAGACCCCACACACACACCCAGACCCTACACACACACACACACAGACCCCACACACACACATACACACACACAGACCACACACCCCCCCACACACACACACCCCACGCACACACACACAGACCCGCACACACAGACCCCACACACAGACCCCACACACAGTGGAGCAATACTGTGTTAACCTAGCTATCTGAATTAATGTTATCCATCTGAACTAAATCACAGACTTCATTCGTCAATGGCATGCACTCTCTCTCTTTCTATACAGAGTCAGATTAAAGAAGTAGAAATACACTAAACATACCGTAGGCAGATGGCGAATCGCTCGGCGGGTCCGATTGACAAACGCATGTTGGTGTCCGCCTTTGTTATCAGTGGACCCACTTTTCCGAGCAACTCGTCGAAATGGCCTTTGCTCCTTCTGAAGTACTGGTGAAACAGTTCGTCATCCAGACGGAGCTCTTGGACCAGAACATGGT